ATGTGGATATACCGTCCTGTTATTTTGCCATCCGTGTCCGTGACCAGAAACCGGGGCCCAGTTCCTCTACAAACATGCAGGCTGCCACGTCAAGGTCACACGCCGTTACTCCAGGGAGGCGCGTAAGAGACACACGATAAGATAGTGTGAGGATGGACGTGGCGTGGACAGGGACCAATCAATAATTGCCACTCCCCTACCAACCACATTTAAATGTAGCCAACGCTTGCTGTTTTCTCATATACTCTGACGACGGCTTCTTGTATGAAGCCGAAAGCTCAGAATAAAACTATCGTTCCAGAGATCGCGTCTTCCTCTTCCTTACAACAAGAACCTGGGCCACGCAGACATAAAAGTGAATATTTTGGTCTAGGAGACCCGGAGGAATATCGTTTCTCAAGCGGAGATTGCAAAATTCAGACAGAAATAGTATTATACAGGCTTCGTCGAGGAAGCCCGATACTGCTTCACAGTAACTCAACGAACACGTTCCTGCAACAAATGTGGCGTGCTGGAAATCCTTATGAATTGCAGCAGGTTCTTTTGCGCACACAAAACCGGCTTCCTCAACCGGATAGCAATTTCTTCTGCTGTTGCTAGCAGGTGCTGACCCAATGACTTAGGGTAGTTTGGTAGGACCTTGTAGATCACCCTGAAGGCTTCGTTGGGGTCCACCCGATGTCCGAATTCTACCATGTGCGCTAGAAGAGAGCTGCTGATGGTCCTGATGGTATTGACTTTACCTGGTATGGGAAAGGGAAGGAAGGGCGATACAGCGAGAGACAGAGAGAGAGAGCTAGGAAAGCGATGAGATCGCTCCAGTTCGGATGGGGCTCTCGGTAGCCACAATAATGGTGATAGTTCGACCACCAATTTCGATGAAATCCACCATGTGCTCAGGAGCAGGGAGGGTGACGGTAGTCAGGGATAAGTGAAATAGACTCAATGACCAAAGGTGCCGAGTTCGAAGCTGAGGTGCTTCACACCTGGGTTTAGGTATGAATGGCTGCTGACGGCTAATACACCAAGAAGATTAGAAGGATCGGCTCTGACCACCCTTGACAAATTCATTTAATCCAGCTGAGAATCAGGCAATTTTGCCGCAATACACGGTCAGAAAGAGCATTAACTGTAAACCTTCTGGTTCAGCACAAGATCCAAAGGTTTGCACGAGCCTCCCTCTGGATGACTTACCCTACAAGGTCCACCGTCAACAGTTAGACAGAAGGCAGGCAGCCTGGAGGCAAATGCAGCAATCGCCTTCGAGCAGGACTGACGCTCGACCTCAAGTTGGAGCGACAAGAGGCGCAGGGCTTCTATGCGTGGACAGGTCACACGTAGCAGATTGATCAGCAGCTTCTTGCTCGTCTCCTGGATCAGGGGTCGACAGTGATCAAGGCCTGGGGGAATAATTCGGGACAAACAAAGGACGACAATTAATTCACACAGGGAAATACTCGATAGCAAAACAAAAGGAAATAGAGTAGGCAACAGTTAACCAAACGAG